AGAAGCCATTCCTGGTGTTAATGTTACTGCTACCTCAGTATTTATATTCCACACAGCCTGACTGGACAAAGTGAAAACCCAGAAGTCGGAGTGCAACAATAAAGAGACCTACAAAGCCTTCCCATGACATTTCCCAAGCAGCCAGTTCTGCTGAGATGGTTCTCCTGCACTTTGCAACCAGCTAAAAGGCCTTGGGGACCCCTTTTGGTAAGCCAAGATGTAATGAAAATACCAAGAATATTAATGGCATATAGATCAGGTTGCACATACTCCTCACACAGAGAATGTCAGCCATCACTCCCAGGCTTTTTAGATTCAGAGCAATTTTTTCCTCTTCCATTTGAAGATTTAAGAGGCCTTTAAAGAAAAGAGTTGTCATGTTTTAGTTTCGGTTCTTATTGTCCATACCTGGGGGGGTGGACATACCCCCAAGGGAGGGCTTAAATCAAGATTAACTACAAATATAGATCAATATGATGTGTTTGAGAGGGAAGTATTGCACCTGTAGGCAGTTCTGGCTCCTCCAACACCAAGTGCCTTACGCTGTTTCCGATAAACCTTCTCTGCAACAGGATTAAAGGCAGTCCCAAAATATCAGTGCTAATTTGGTGCTCATCAAGATGTCCTCAGGGAAACAGGATAAAAAGGAGAGACTAAGCATAATTATACAAGAGTCATATTGGCAGGCAAGTTGGTCTCTAGTAGCAAAAAGCCAACAAGTTTTCCCTCAATATTTCTTCCAAAGCACTTTCATATCAATGAATAAAGAGGCATCATGAAACAAAGCCACACTTCCTCCAGAAATACAGTGGGGAAGCTGGAGGGGAAGAGGGAAAAGTGAAAGTGAAGTATGGTAAAGGGAGACAAACATTTATTAGTGCTGCTTTTGCACAATCAAGTCTCCCTTGCTGGTAAAATACAGTCACAGCTGAGCTATCAGCCCTACAGAATTCCTTTCCTTTAAGAAAATCCCAATCCACGGCAAATTCTTACCGACAATCATTTTTTGCAGGACTGAAGAACACCAGCAAGTCTTGCAAATTGTATTACCAAACAGAATTAAGGTCAAGGGATTAGGACACCAATTCCTTATGACCATGTCAACTGTCCAGGAGCTGTGAGAAACTCAGCCTAGCAATGTTCTGTGGAGCCAGGGCCAGCCCTCCCCACTGCTGGGCTTGATCCCTGCCTGGGGCCAAGCAATCCATCCCCCCTGGAGCCTCTGGGATATGGGTACTCACTGCTCCAACATCTCCTTAGGGAAATGAAGGGAAAGCACAGGAGAAATCCACTAAACCACCTGTGAAGTCACACCCTCCCACCACAGCCCTTTGAAAAATAATTACACGGGGGAAGAGAGGGGAAATCCAGCCTGTAAAGCTGAACTGCAGGTTATTATCTGTGCGGTCAAGGCACTGGGTAATGACTCTTTTCCTGGAGAGAAATCCTGACTGGTATAACTAGAATGCAGCCTAAGTCGTGCTTGTTTTAAATAAGACCACGTTGAACCCAGCTTTTAATACAAGTCTTACAGAAAAGAGTGTTTCAGAACATGGAGTGTTTCCAGCAATGTTTAAGACAAGGAATAACTATTGAGATCAGTTGTTTCTGCTCACATAAAAAACCCTTTCTTTCATAATCTAAACAGAAATCTCCATTTTCTTGTTTAAACACAAATATTATGTTATTTGTTAGCAGAAACTGGAAGCTGAGCTGTGACCATCAGTGCTCTGAATTCAATGCATGAAATCATCAAGACACTGAGTGAAACTTTACTCACTGTGCCCGATTCCCTGCACAGAAAAATCGTCTTTTAAGGAATCTGGTTGCTCTGAGTCACAGCTCTGGTCCAGGTATCCTGTTAATCACTGTAAACAAAGCTCACAAACACCCAGAAAATGAGTAGTTTGTGATTAGCTGCAAGGAAAGTAAACATGATTATCCTGAAGAAAACACCACTGAACAAGCCAGGAAAATCCAGCCAACCACTTTCATTAATCTAAATTAGTGGCCAAAATATTTCTATAAGAGTAAGGTCATATTATCCAAAGGAATTGCATTCCTATGGTTTCAACTTCAGGTTTGAATCCTAATAATTAAACTTCAGATGTCCAGTACTGGAAACACAAGTCATCCATATCAAAAGCAGCCTATGAATATAATGTAACAGCAACACATGACTTGCAATAACACTGGAAAAACTCATCTCCCCCATTCCTCTCTTTACCATCCCATCTCTATCTCCCAAAGCAGCTACAAACACAGATAAGAGCTGTGGAACAGCTTTATAAATACGTGTTAGTAACTTATCAGCAAAAGCATTTTGATCGAGGACTGCGCTGCAAATAAATGATTGCAGAGATCTCTGATGACTCAATCTGAAGCCTTTTGATTAATCAGCTACTTCTTGGTATAGAGACCTATTTCTACCAGCCAAAAGTTTCTGATACACCTGTTTCATTAGGGACTGAATGCCTGGTAAAACATAAGGCACAATTAGAAGATTAAAGTCATTTTGTACATTGTGTTAGTTACTTGGCTGGCAGGGAAAACCCATCTCTGCTTACCATCAGCAGCTGACCTTGGGTTGCCATTGCTGATCAGAAAATCAGTGGAATAATGTGATGTGCTTAAGAGTAAATATTTAAAGCCATAATTACTTCAGGAAAAATTAGGAACCAGCATCTCAGAGGAGCTTTCATGGGACTGTTCCCAGTGGTGATTTGCAACGAAAGACACTGCATTTGTTTTTACAGGAGCAAGAATGTATTTCAAAAAGTGCCATCTACCAACACACAGAAATATGCACTGTTTGGCAGTTTATGGGCAACAAAATTCTTACCCTGTCACAGATACTACTGACCAGGTCACAAATCACATCAAAGCTGAGCCTATCAAAGGCATTTCATACATTCAAGATGCTCCCTGAAAAAAATTCTTCCATATATTTAAAAAACCTGCTGCTGTTAAGACGAGCATTCTCTGGTGCTCTAATGACCAGAAAACCTCAGTTGTTGTAATTGCAAGTTCTATTTATATGGAGATTTCAGTTCAGCTCCCTGAGGTGCCCAAGTGTCTCTCTCTGCATCAGGGCCCATCCAGAGGCTCTGGAAGCACAGAGGAACCTGCCTGGAGCAGGGTCAGGGCTCTCCACTCATCCCACCTGATACAAACACTCACCAGTCACCCTCACTATGACCCATTTACGCCTGTTCCAGAGTTTGAACTTATCCTTGCAATGCAACTGTGGAGACAAATCATCAGTGGGAATTCCAGTGGCTCCTGCAAACATTCCCTAAAATAAACAGGGAGTAGCTCCATACAGGTGAAGGGCACTAGAAACACAGATTTAGTTAAGCTTAAACAAGTTATTTCCTAATGAAAGAATCTCACTGCATGGGTTTCATCTATTCTTATTTCAGTCTACGCCTTCATTCTTTCAAATGAATTCAGACTATCAAGAATCAAGAAGAAAGCAAGCACAAAGATTTGATACAAAGTATAAACCTCCATGCATGAGTATGGAAAGAAAAGAGGACTGTAACCAAACATATACCACTATGACAATTTTTTTTTTAATTCCATTTTCCAAAAATAGCAACATCTGCCCATGTAGCAAGATCCCCAGAGACACAAATCAGTACCAGCAGTATGTGAGCAAATATAGAGAGCACCTGCAGTGTGGTAACTCCTGACATTGACTTACTTTTTTAGAGGACATTGGTCTCAAGAACTTCTCAAACATTCTTGAGATAATTTCAAGAGATACTGTGCTTCCAGAGAGGGAGGCCCTTATCCACAGACCACTTGAGACTGCTACAGTAAAATAATCTGAAGGTTTGCTCTATTCTTCCACGTGGAGTTGTTAATAGGGGTCCTCTGACCTGAGCTGTTAGAGCTGTTCTTGTCAAGATGTTGGAGTTTTTCTTTCACACATACACATGCAAACAGAGCCCCACATATCCACTGGGAAGCAGGACAGCTCTTGGTGGCCCCAATTTGCTGCCTGACCCTGCATCACCCCACTAGGATGGCCCAGCTCTCCTGGGGTGAAAGAGCACTCGGCAACCTGGAGTTTATTATTAAGCAGCCCCAGAGACAAAGCCACAACTGAAGAAAGAAAGACTTAGGTGAATTATTTAAAGACATAAACTGCCTTTAAAAAAGAAGATGAACATTTAAATGGCTGCTTAACCTGGTAGCAGAAACAGCTTTTTCTCAGTTTGTGTGAACTAGGTCAAACAGCTCTTACCTTCCTTCCAGTCCACCTACACCTACAGCAGAAAACAGACCTGCCTCTCTGCACACACTTTTCTACATACAACATGCTGGTGTTCCCACATCTGTAAGCAGGCCCCTAAAATGAATCAATGCTGGATAGTATGAGCTGTGTTTCCAAAACACTGTGTCAGAAGTGCAACCTTGCAAGTTCAACAGGTGTTTGTTTCAACAGATTTAGATCACGTCAGATTCAGTTTTCATGTTTGTCCAGCACAAAATTAAAGCCAAAATTTGAAGCATGAGTTCTCTATTAACTCACTCTCTATTTAACTATAGACATGACATATACCAGTTCGGAGAAAAAAAAAATCTCCTTCAAGGTTAAGCATTTCCTCGACCTCTGTTTGAACTCAAACACACCGTTGTTCCATTGTCACTTCAGATCGTCAGCTGCCAAAACAGCACTTCTATAGCTCTCCCTTTTCAATCACACTTCTTCACTCTTCCTTCACCCCAAGCCAGTGCACTCACATCTTTTGACATGAACCTTAACCCCTCTTTTTTTTAAGAACAAAGCATTTCAGCTACAGCTTCCGGAGCGAAGTCAGCGTCACTTTGTTGCCGTGCCCCAGTCACACAGAGACACTTCTCTCCCCGTCCCTTTAGGCACTAAAAAAATATCCTGATTGTGTTAAAAATTACTGTGTAGCTGGATAAGGGTTGTAGGATCGTCAAAGAGTTGCCAATTAAGTGTTAAGCACCCATTAGCTGGCCCTTACCTTGCAGCATGCACCTGTAGGCAGACTCGGAGATCGCGTAGATGTGCGGTGGCATCTCGTGGCGCTTCTTCCCTCTGTACATCTCAATAATGTTTTCCGAATAAATCGGGAGGTTCTTGTAAGGGTTTATAACTACACAGAACAGCCCTGAATAGGTCTGGGGGAAAAAAAAAAAACAAAACAAAACAAAACGTTTCTGTTAGTAAACAGTATTGAAATAGAGTCATAAAGAACAAAAAGATTTTTTAGCAGGTTCTGTAATATTTATCTGAAAACAAAATTGAGGTCCTTTTTGTAGAGCAACTCAAAGTGCATGCTATATTCAAATTATTGGTTTCTAGTTCTCTTAAAAAGCTCTTTAATTACCTGCATAAAAAGTAATTTAAAGATAATAAGCGTAGGTAAATTTGAGGAGGAGCATCTGATCTCTTTCCCACAGACATTTAAATCTCCCTCCCGTTTGCCAAGTTTCAGGGTTTATGGACACCTTTTGATGTTCAACTCCTTCAGTAAAACGTGCATTCCAGGGTATTTTCATGTTTGAAGGAATTGATAATCTCCATTGCTCTAGTAAATAATCTGAAAAGCCTATTTCAAACCACCACTGTTCCTGCTGTTATTTTCTCATATCTGTACATCCTTCCTGCTCATCAGCCCTTCTCAATCCCACGGCGGGGGGGGGGGGGGAGTCATTCCCTCCCCATCCCAGCCCAGCTGATGGACAGCCTGGCAGCTGGCACTGCAGACATTTCACACCCTGCCTTCAGAGCTGACACTCCACAAAGGTACCAGCACTCCCAGAATATCCAGGACAGCACAGGTTGTACACTGCTGATTCCATTGACTCTCACTGAGGCACTTTTTGAATCAGAACATGCCTCAGGTGCTCCAGAATTGAGTCCACACTGAAGAGATGCCCACAGGGCCACACTTCCCTGTGATCCAAGCATAAGAGCCTCCTCCAGAGTGGCTCCAGCTCTGCTCCACACGAGTTAGTTATAAGGCAGCTCTCACAGAAACATCCACGGCAGAAGAACTCACAGAGGCAGCCACGACACTCGGTTATGTGGGAGGGACAGACCAGCAGGGGCTGGCTCGGGATCAAAGGCTGAGCTCCCAGACAGACACCCCGCACACACCAGAGCTCACCCGGGGTGTTTCCCTAATCCAAGGCATCTGGATGGCTCTGCCTTTTCAGCAGCCACCAAAACCGAGGGCTCTAAAGAAAGCAAAATCTCTCCATTCACCGTTATCTCATCACGTGCTTTGGCAGCGTGTTCTTTCTGGCCAGTGCAACTCCCAGCTCAGGAACGTGGGCAAGACAGACCGGGTTTGACAGAAATAGGAGGTATCTCTCTAAATGTCAGGAAAACCACACTTCTTACCTTTGCAGGTTGAGAGAAGGAATGAAGCAGAAATCATTAACATCTCTTGAGAACCCAGAATGAGCAGATAACTCATGATTTTTATAATATTAGTCAATTTTAAACAGTATTTCTGCTACATTTGTATCATCACAGTAGCTGAAAGTTCTGATCTGCCTATTTTATTTATTTTTTTAAGAGTAAAAGATTTTAGTTGAAGGAAAAGGTGCCCTCTTCTTTCTGCACCTACAAAGGATTCTGGAAAGACAAACATAAGGTGATCTCTGAGCTGAGCCAGGAGCACCATCAGCAAAGAAAAAGAACTTGGGTTTATGCCAGATGTCCTGACATAGGGACATTTTATGTCCTTACAGGAAAATACTCCCTGTGCTTTGGGCAGATCTGCTGGATGACAAGCACTGCAGGGCCTTACCATCTAAATAAGGTATTTATTTCCCCAAGAGAAAGGAAACAGATGTTATCAGGTCAACTGATCCAAGCATAAGGAGCAACTTATCAGTCATTAACTCAACATAGGGGCTGTTGGCAAGTGAGCAGTTCCTTTCCACGGTCCTACCCATGTCCCTCTTGCCACCATCAGCACCTCTGTAGTAACTGAGCAAGCTGGATACAACTGCAGACAAATTTCAAAAAGAAAGGGTTGGTAATAATCAGTTCCCTGCCCCAACTTATTCATGGTCACTGGTGATATTGAAAGGGAGAGAGAAGGCAGGACAGTTATTTTAACAGCGTGGTACAACCAGCCAAGGAGCCAATTAACTGATGAGCACTGGACCTCCATCCCTGGCCAGCCAACCTCCCTGTGCTCAGCTGAGGTCACCCACACACATCTGTCATCACTGCTGGTGACACAGAGGCATCAAGAACCACCACAAGCCTGGTTTGCAGTCCAGCCTTCAAATAAGGACAACCAGGAAAAAGGCACAAGTCCACTGAGCCCAGCTCAGGATCACTGAGCAGCACCTCCACCGTGCTCCTGCAGCGCAGCCACACAGTTATTGGGGGAGATCTGTCCAGACAAAGGAATCCCCACACCCAGACTCCACTTCAGACCTGTCCCCACACAGCCCCTGACCAGTGGAGTGGCACCAACATGTGCAGAATCCAGCAGACACCTCTGGGATGATTCTGGGCTCCCATCCCACAGCACTCCTGAGCCCTGCTCTGGTTTTCACCCACTCAACTTCAAAAACTTCCAACTTACCTGTTCCTCATCTTACCAAGGACAGGAACTCCCAAACCAGTGGCTGGTTAATCTGCAAGGGTGGTGTTGAATAAACCAGCTATATTGCAGTCACTCTTTCAAAAGCCTCTGTTGCTCTGCAAATTCATCCAAAACTTTTACCACCTGTTTTGGCATTTTATGTTCCCAACAGAAAGCTGTTGTTTTATACCTAAAATCACTGCCCTTCCCCCAACACAAATAAACTCATCTGATAAGTAATTTAAAAAAAAAACAAACCTTAAGTGTTAGGCTAGAACAGCTGCTTGAAGATGATCCTTCTCTCTTCCCCCCACTTACTTTGGCATATTTTATTTCCCCAGTACAGATATAAAGTAAATGCTAATACTCAGCTACAAAAAGAATTAATAATTTGTAAAAATAAACTTAACAATCCTTCAGACCCCTATGGATGATCCCTAACCTGGGAGCCTTTCCAGACTCTCTCCTGAAGCAGGAATTGGATGGACCTGTGAATCCGGAATGACCAGAACAAGCAAAGCCCCAACCATTCCAACATAACTCTGCCAATCTAGAGACCAGCAAATGTCCTGGGCAAATAAAAAAGGTTAATTTAAGAGGCTCTATATTGAACAGGGCCAAATTAGACCTTATGAAGCACAAAATTCTCCATTTCACCAGTGTTGGGGTTCATTATTTGAAACTAAACCTAAAGGAGGGGCTTTTATACCAGACCATTCAGCCTGTGCCATGACACAGGTCTTCACACACAGCACCCTGAACTCCAACACCTTGATTCCTTTCACAGCTGCTACCCAGTTCATTCTCCCTGCAGAGTTAAAAAAAAAAAAAAATCACACTTTCTCCAAACCACCACCACACTGCACAGCCCTAATTTATTCAAAGGAAGATGGAACTGAGCTTTCCTCACACAGCTCCCACATTTCCTGACCGTCATCTATTGCAGAAAGCAAGGTCTGAACATATTGGTGGGCTGTGTTCATGGCTTGGTAGGCACAGAAACACAGAAGAGAAGGTTTTATTGAGCCAAATTTAACTGGGAGGGAGGTAAATGGCACAAAAATCTTATGGAGCTATTTTATAACTGCAAGTCTCACAGTACATCACCGTACCCAAGACAGCAGATTGGAGGCAAAGGCTTTTTGCATGCAAACTGAACACATGAAAAGTAGGCTGAGATTGTTTTACACCCCTCAAAAAGCTTCTTGGTGAGCAGTCATAAGGAAGAATTATCACAACTTGCACACGTGCTTAAATAAATGGACACCCTATTTGATGAATACTCTCCAGCAGCACATGGACTCTGATGGAACTGTCTGATGGGAATCAGAGCTGGGATCAGAACTCACAAGCTCCAGTAACCACCCAGTCTGGATGAAGAACCAGGCTTCATTTGTTTTTCAGCTGACATGGATATTAAGAATTGACAGGCAAGTAAAATGCTGATTCACCTTGAGCTCATGGGGTCAGCTGGGAACAAGCTGGTTGCTTGAAACACATTCCTGCTTTAGCCAGGAATGCAGGCAGGATCAACCAACAGCAACAGCACATGCTGGAATAACCTGAGATGAGCTCAGCTGCTCAGAGAGGGATGCTAAAACACCAGGGGTGTGGGTTTGATCCTCTCCTGGGCTGTTCACTTCAGAGCTGAACTCCAGGATCCCTGTGGGTCTGTGAATGCAAACTCCAGGCAAGGCTCCAGTAAAGGAGAGGTTTGCTACACGAGCTGTCCTTCAGGACACTAAGTGTGGAGTGTGAAGGTTTCCAGATGCTCCCAGCCTTTATCCAGTAGTTTATCACTGAGTAATATGGGTTTTGGTGAGCTGTCCCAGACTGCAGAGTTCAGGTTCCTGGCCTGGTCTGTTTGAAAACTCCATTTTATTCCCACAGTCTGAGAGTGGATTAAATGAACAACTGGCAAGCAGAGTGTGTGATTCCCAGGTGAAAGCAGGTGGGAGCTCAGGCTCTAAATCCAGACTGTGGGCTTTCATGGCCTGTCTTCCCTTCAAACCACACCACACCTTCCCTGTGCAGACACAGATGGAGGTGCTAAGGGAACCTGGGATGATTCCTTGGATTAACAGCTCAGCTCTGCAGTTCCTGCATCCAGGAACATGCTGTTAGGACTGTTAGCTTGGTTTATTCTGCCACAACATCAAAAGGCCTTTAAAGCACCACATTAGAAAGATGCAGGTAAAGTTTTGGAATTTGCAGCAATCAGTTTGCATCACCTGAGCACGCAGGCTCAACATTTATCTCCAGTTCTTCAGATATAAAAAGTGACAGATTTACTCTATCACCACATCAATAATTAAGCTGAAGTAAGTAAACATCTCCACATCTCTTATTATTACCTGAAATAGAAACCAGCAGTTTCCAGCCTAGCAAGCAATACGTGTTTTAAGCAGTATCCCGTAACTACTGGAGTAGAGCACATTCTGCAGATTGATAAATTGCCTCACCGTAGCATTTTCTTGCCTGGTTTCCCTTCCTGAGGTTACAGACTCCCATTCCACACTGCAGGACCTCCTGAGTTCTCTGAGCTGGACATGGTTTTCCCACGAAGAA